CCCTAAACTCTAAACCCTAACCTCTTGACTGTTTCAACAGCTTCTCCTTCCTGGCCAGGTGTGGCTTCCAATGGCCACTTGCGGATACTCTTCAGGAAATGCGAGCTAAGGCTCTCGAACCAACCACATGCTTACAATGTTGTCAACAATCACAGCGATGGATCTCAAATAAATGCGCATAACATATACTGTAAAATCAGTAGTTGTTCAGATCATTGCCAGGTACATGTGCCAGGCACATGTGGGCAAGCTTTCTGAGTATGAACCATGTCAAGTCTGTTGCTGAAGCTCAAGTCTGTTTCTACCTATGCACTTTCAGGTTTCATCAACGCTTCGAAGGCATTGAAGCTAACGGCAGCGAGCTTATCACTGGCAACACGAAGCTTGGCCCACAGAGCATGTTCATCTCATGCATCATCAATATCATTACCACCTAGGAATGGCAAGTGATCGCAATTCGATGCATGCCTTTGTCTCACAGGAATGCCACAAAAGGACGTGAGGCTGTAGCGAGGTTCCCCATGCGCTGAGATGTGCCGTGAACTTTAACCAGCACTGATTTTTGCCCAGCTCGCGTTTGCACCGTGGACATTTTGCCTGATCAATCCAGCGGCTTCCGGCAGCGCTGAAGGATCTGCCGTTGCACCTCAAGGCGCACCTATCTTCTCCCACAATGTCTCTACCAACAGGGCGAGTCCAATGTTCAACATGCTTCCTGCATCCACCTTCAACTGGATGATGTTGCTCAACATGCCAAGCTGAATGCTGAGTCATCCAGTCGTGCACTTTAAACCGTACAGGCCTCGAAGTGCTGCAACTCCTGCCCAGGAAAGCAGCCAAATCATGGAGAATGCAGTATGCAAGTGGCATCATGATATTAATGAGGCTTGTTTGATGGTGGCCTGGGGCTCCCCATAGCTGCCGCATACTATGCTGATCTTGCAACACAAGCAAGGGCTAGGCGCCTGCTGCAAAAATTGTCTGCACTTGACTCTAGACAGGCATGTTAAGAAACATTAGTGGTATGTGGAATATAGCATTGGCTAGAAGAGACTATATACTATAGGATATCACATTGTTATAAGTCGAGGTCTTCGCTACCCGGGTTTCACTTCATTCTTTTGTAGGTGCGGCTGTGGTTGTAGCGCCTTAGCACAGTCCAGCTTGACCAAGTGTCCAGGGTCACGAATACTTATTGGTGGTTAGTATGGAATAAAAGAATATGATCCCTCTAGAAACATTCCCTTTTTCCCTACTAACCC